AAACCTCCATTGAAACTCAAATATCCAAAAAAAAATGTGAAAAATAACTCAAATCTATCATCAAACTCAATAAATTTAGGAAGAGGGAACAATTTCGATCAGATTAAGATATTCAGGTCGTCGCATGCACAAATACACATTATTAACACATCGTAAATTGGACAATCAAGTTAAAGAAATAAACAGTAATACAGATTAAATATTTCTACTGGGCATTTCGTCGAACAGGTTGTGGACACTATAAAAAATAATGCATGAACACTAAACTTCCATTGAAGCTCAATCTGCAACAAGATAACAACTCAAACCAAAAAATGTACAAAATCGATTTCATACCATCATAGTCTTACAGAAAGATAACAACATAACAACAAAGTAAACAATTTGTATGGTTAATCAACAATCATAAGCTTACCACCACTCATTTTCTTCGTTCTTCTCTATCTCTTCCTTTACAATCACATGCATCTACTCTTACATCTTTCGCAACCTATAATATACAAGCACAAAATCAAATCAGTACAAAAAAAATAAATCAATTCACACGCTCAAAGTTGTAGAATCGGATGGGAAAAATTGAGATTTTGAGAGATGTTGAGTAATTACATAAAAGCCTAATCTACTAAATCAAGAAAAACTACACAAAATGCAGCTCAAAACTAATCCTATGAAGCTAAATTTGAAATCGAAAGTCAAAAAATTGAAATCGAAAAATCATTTTGATTTTCTGAAGGAAAAATACAAAACACAAAATTAAACATAAATTAAAAACCTAGAAATAACATCATAGCTCACATAATAGATTGTTGATTGAGAAATTGAACAAAATCAAACAGGAAATCGCAAAATCAAACAAAATCGAACAAAATTTATATTCTAGTCAAGAATAGAATTGAAACAGCGAATTTTGATTTTAAAATTAATAGAGTAAGAAGATGAAGATGAAGATGATATCAAACCAGCGGAAGATCGGAGATTTCTGGATTCGGAGAGTTCAAGATCTTCAGGAAATTGGGGGAAAAAATGTCGAGAAATTAGGAGAGAGGAGAGAGAAGGAGGAGAGATAAATCTGACGGCTTATAACGCGAGTTTCATCTAATCCATCTGATACAAATCTGACGGTCCTAATCATCCGTTTTCAGTTTTCACACTAAGATTTGTTTTCACATGATCCACACTCTATATATATATATATATATATATATATATATATATATATATATATATATATATATAAACACACACACTGAATACCACTCACATTATCCAGAATTATATGTTCGATGATTAACATAAAAATAAAGCTAATCAAAATTGTCACACTTATAAATACACATAACTTTATTATAAGTAAACATATAAAATAATGTAACATAAAACATAAGCTAATTAAATAATGATAATAACTCCCTAAAAAAAAAGAAGTGATAATAATCAATTAGAGATCATCAAATTGTGGGATTCCGTCAAATTGTGGGATTCCGCGCCATTATTTATGATGATGCAAATTTGTTAACAAATACATCTTGTATTTATATAGTTTTCCATTTGAGTTAAAAGTATCCTTTTAACATTTTATGCCCCAAGTTATTTATTTAAATTCATTTAAAGCAAAGATCTTAAGTTCGATTCTAATTCATAGGGGTGCTTATGAGACGAGACAACTCGCGAGCTACTCGAGTTTGACTCGGTCAAAACTCGACTCGAACTCAAGATTGACTGAAATGTTAACGAGTCGAATTGCTCATTACTTGACTCGAAAGCTCATAAAAAGCTCGAAATCCTTTCTATAATTTGATATTTACAAAAAATGAAAATATTTTGATAAAAAAAACTTTTATTATAGATTATTAATTAATAAATAAACATTATTTATGTACTCTTATCATCATATATATATTTCTCAAATGACAAAATTAACGAGAACGAAGAGATGTTATAGTAAATAGGGAGTTTTACTAAAGACGAATCAAATTACCTGACTCTATTACCAATACAAAATTAAAATAATCTACACATACATCAACGACTAATTACACATTAATCACCGAGTATAGATCACCACATTGAGGGACCGCGCGCGTACCGAGTAGATCACCATATAAGGGGATCGCGCGCTCTCATCTTTTCCCTCCGTAACATTACTTATTTGTTTACTTATAATAAAGTTATATGTATTACTTTCCATCATTACTTAATTTGGTTCAATACACTCTGAAATGCTACATGTTATGCAAAGTTCGTATAATTTAAACACAATTCTTTGACATTACGTTATAAACTGCTCCAATTTTAGTTGAAGCATTAGTTCTGTGCACTTATTTATTAACTATAGCTAAAGTGATCATTATACACTAACCAATCAAAGCAAATGAAATCAACAATTAAAATGCAACCAATTACATTATCACATAAACAACGACTAATTACACACTAATCACAGAGGCGAAATCACCAAATTGGGGGACCGCGCGCGTAGCACGCGGGCCAACAACTAGTGGTAAGAAAATATGATGATTGAATATTAAAAAGATGAAAAATTAGAATTAAGGAAAATAGGAGATTTTGGGAGATGATTTAAAATATAATTTTACCGATTAAATTCCCCCAAAATATTTCATGAGGGCCGAAAATATGGAGCTTACCATAGCTCTAATTTTCGGATTCCTCTAGATATATTTAGGAATATTTTGCTCGGTTTTTAAGGAATAAAATAATTGTATAAATAATATAGAATAATAATTAATTAATTAATTAATTAATTAATTACCAATTACTTACCAATAAATAACCAAGAAAAATAAGATTTTCCATACATGAAAAATCCGAAAATCCTAGCTAGTTATTAGGTAATTTCGTCCATAACAATTAATTAATTAAAATATTATTTTGCTTTAATTAAAATATTCGAAATATGTAAATAATCCGGTTTTTAAAATAGGATAAATGGATAATAAATCTTATCCAAAACAATAATTAGTTTTCAAAATACTTTTGGCGCTAAAATTCAAATATTATTTTGGCTCCAAATAATAAATTTACTAAAATACCTTTTTTATTAAATAATTCCTAATTAATTAATTAGGAAAATACGTATGAAAATACGGGGTATTACAAAAAGGGAAGGTTGTCTGGTGGTGGAGGAGGTCGCCGAAGGTGGGGGATTTGGACAGCAAGTCCGGTGGGGGAGGAGGGTTGATGCCATGGGAGGAAGAAGGAGGAAAGAGGAAGAAGGGGAGGAGGAGGGGAAGGGGTGGTAGTTTTTTTATATATATTAATTAAGTTTAATTATTTAGTAATTTGGTGGGTTAGAGGTTAATTAGAAGAAATTTAGAATCTAATTAAGTTAATTAGAGGGTAATTAGGGAAATAGGTTTCCTCTCGCAAAAAAAATGAACGTGGTGGTTTTTTTAATCAAAAAACTTTTAAAAAGTTTTTTTTTTTCGCAAAATGGTGGTTTTAAAAGGATTTTTTTGAAAAATTTTCCTTTAAATAAAACCTATTTTTAATTTGTCCATTTTAAAAATAAATTGCTATTATACATAAATATAAATAAGAATTACGTATTTTTGTTAATATTTTTTATTTTAATCAAAATTATGATATATTATCTATTCAACGTTGTCTAATTTATAGTTTAATATACGAGGTCATTTATTAGTGTGCTATTTAAAATTGTTTCAATCTCCTACGATAAATTGATAGGTTTTAGTTGTAATGTAGAAGCTTCCAATTTTTAAATTTCAAAGATGTTAAATATGATAGCTCTACAAAAAAAATGATATCATCATTGCATTTAGGCGAGAAAATTTTTATTAAGAAAGCGAAACGTGGGCAATGGTGACATCAACAACTTCTGTTTTAGTAATAGTTAATAGATAGATTATTTATTTTTGGACTTAAAAAATATGGATATTTATTTTTTAAATTCGACTATTGGGACTGGATTGGACTTTTTGGACTTAAAAAATTTGAGTCCAAATCCAATTCAAAATCGGAATTTCAAATTTTTATGTCCAAATCCAATCCAAATTAAAAAATAAAAGTGTAATTTGAATAGCATATTTGGACTGAATTGGATTGGATTTCGGACTGGAGTTCGAATAATGGACACCCTTAGTTAAGTGTAAAAATCACATTACTAAGTTTCAGTGTTTAGAACTTGTGGGATGTATTTCAATCAATACCCATTGAGTAGCCACTGAAAATTAATAATTCATTGCAAAATTGTTGTAAAATATGTGTAAAGTGTTTTAAACGCTACAAAACTATACTTCCTCCGTGACGCATTATGTGCAACAAATAGATTGACACGAACTCCAAGACAAAAGATGTTAAGCCTTGATTAGTAAGATTAAAGGGTAAGTGATTAAAGAGTGGTATGACTAATAATTTACCACATCACCACCAACTAACACCCCTCCACCACCACTATTATATCCGTACACCACCTGAAACCCCACCACCAGCACCACAACCAGAAACTCCACCACGACCACGACCACAAACTCCACCAGAGAAATCCCAAAACCCAGGCCACCACAAAAAAAAACTCCGCAAATTCGCCACCACCAGAAACGACAACCCCGACAACCACCAGCGAAACTAATCTGTAACCCCGAAAACCAGAAACGACCACCACCACCAGAAACTCCGAAATCCACCTGTGAATTCCGAAGCCCAGACCACCAGCACCACAATCCCGAAACCCCCACCGTACTAGTGAAATCCCAAAACCCCCACCACTTTCGAAACCCCCACTGTACCAGCGAAATCCACCATCGAAATCCACCAGCGAAATCCCAAAACCCCCACCACCTGCGAAACCCTCACCGTACCAGCGAAATCCACTATCGAAATCCACCAGCGAAATCCCTAGATCTGAATCCATCAGCCAAATCGCATACCCAATTCTCTTTCTCTATCGTTTCAAAATTCGATCTGAGATCCTTAGTGGTGGTGGTGGCGGCGATAAAGAACGAAGATAACCCTAAATGAAGATGAAGAAGATGATCATGTTGGTGGTTGCAATGGTTCGGCGTCGGAGATGTTCATGGTGGCCTTGGTGTCGGTGGTCTGGTGTCGAAGGTGTTCGTGGTACTGGTGGTTTGGTACGATGGTTCTCATGGGTGGTCGGTGATGATGATGGTGGTTGGTGATTATGGTGGCAGGGGAGAGAAAGGGGTTTTTAACTTTTTAATTATTAATGTAAATAATCTAATTAATTTAAATTAGTAACTAAAATAGTGCTATTAGTTTTTAAATAGGGGTATTATAGTAATTTCATTTTAAAAAAGTTACCAAAAAAGGAAAGAAAAAGTTTTTTGCACATAATGTGTAATTTCCCTTTTTGGCAATTGTTGCACATAATGCGTAACGGAGGAAGTAAGAATAATGTGTTTGTTTGATCAAAGGAAAAATGGTATGGCTTGACATTTCGTCACTGAATTTGAAAATGAATTCCGGCGCAATCGGGGTGCACATTGTATCGCTAGTACGTTCCTTAATATTACACACCACTCTCACTCAAATGCACTTTTGGGTGAGAGGTGGAGCCATATAAATTTATGCCCAAAGAAGAAAAATGTGTTTAGCTCCTTTTGATATATTCAACTAGTGAGTAGCCCGGACGTTGTCCCTGGTTACTACTTTTGTAATTGTCAACTGCTAATTTTTTAGAGCATCTAATAGTTTGTATGTAGTATATGTGTCTTCAATACTTTATAGTATAATATACTCCCTCCGTCCCCCATTGATAGTCACTTTTATCATTTTTTGTGACCCAAAATGTTAGTCACATTTGTTTTTTTCAAGTACCATCAATATTATTTTTTTTACAAAAATACTCTCCCATTTTCAAAAATATTTGTGCAAATTTAACTTTCCCATGTAAATCTTACTTTCCTATGTACTTTAATTACTTTCCCTCTCTACTTTTTTCCATGCCCAATGTAAATTTACTTTTTTAATGTAATTTTGCTATTTATTTATGTTTATTAATTTCCGTGATTTTCTACCAAAAGTGACTATTAATGGGGGACAGAGGGAATAATATAGTGTTCAACGTTGAAGCATAAATGACAATTAGCCTACATGGTTAATCATTAACGTTTCTTCTAAAATATCTAGTGTTCGAACATTTTCATCCATATTATCTGCTCATTATTATGTACCATTTAATACTATTCAGTAGATGAGTAAAGTAGGCAAGATATAGCAATTAGAGTATACCCAGCCATTGGTTATTGAGGTTGGTTATTAAGAGAGAGAAAGTGGAATAATAATAAAATAATGAAGAGAGAAATTTTTGGGGGAAATTTTCAATAACCTGGTTAGTAGAATAACCGGTTATTGTAGCTTGGTCATGGAATATTTTATTGTTTTTGATAGTGACACATAATGACAAGGCTTCTTGAGATTGTGACACCTATTCATTTAATCAATGGCTGAGATTTGCTCTGATTTTATTACCGTTGTAATTTGTAACGGCCATAATTTTTAAAATACAATTCTAAAAAAAAAAAAACACCAACGACTCTATTTTATTTTTCTCTATAAAATGAGCCCAATATTGAGGTATTGTGAAACAAATTTTTTTTTATTGAATATTACTCTCTTTATTATCAAATTTTATTTTTCTCTACAGGAAGATTTGGTGCCTCCGGATTGCAAAAATGCACAGCTGCTATGAGGCTAATAGCTTATGGCACCTCTGCTGATTCTGTAGATGACTACATTCGAATTAGTGCATCTCTTGTAAGAGATTCACTACAACATTTTGTGGAAGGAATTGTCTCTTACTTTAGTGATGAATACCTTAGAAAGCCCAATGAAGAAGATCTAGTAAGACTACTAAGAATTGGTGAACGTCGAGGATTTCCAGGTATGCTAGGTTCTATTGATTGCATGCATTGGCGGTGGAAAAATTGTCCACTTCGATTAAAAGGTATGTTTTCTAGAAGACCAGGTAAGCCCACATTAATATTGGAAGCTGTGGCATCATATGATCTTTGGATCTGGCATGCTTTTTTTGGGACACCAGATAGTCGTAATGATATTAACGTTCTTGATAGATCCCCTTTGTTTAACGATGTTTTTGAAGGTCGTGCACCTTCTATTAACTATGTTGTGAATGACCATCATTACAATATGGGATATTATCTCGCTGATGGCATATATCCTAAATGGGCAGCATTCATTCCTACAATATCACTACCACAAAATGAAAAAGAAGGTCTTTTTGCCAAATTACAAGAAGCTAGACGAAAGGATGTTGAGCGTGCTTTTGGAGTATTACAAGCTCGTTTTGCAATAATACGGAATCCTGCGCTAGCTCGTGACGTATTAATGTTAGGAAAAATAATGATAGCATGTATCATTATGCACAATATGATCGTTGAGGACGAAAGAGATACGTATAAAACGTATTACGATCCAAATGAATATGATCAAGCTACAAACGCGTCTTCAAGTAATAGAAACACTGAAGAGCCTTTTCATTTCGAAAATAGCAACAACCGAATTGCAAGTTTGAAAATTTATATGTCTAATAGAGCTCGTGTTCGTGATGAAGCTATGCATAATGCCTTAAAGAAAGACTTACTTGAACATATGTGGCTCAAATCCGGTGTTCACAGTAGGCAAAATAATTTGCGTTAATAGTTGTATAATCGTAACATTAAATTATTGTATTTGTACTCAAGCACGGTTCGTTTTTATCTTTTAAAGATTGTTGTCATTTGATAGAATATGTACTATTTTTATTATTATCGAATTTAGTAAAGTTGCAATTATTGTGTATTTCTTAATTAACGACTAATTACTTACTAATTAAATAATATAATGCATTAATTTTAAACATAAGTCATTTTATTTAATTATTGTATGCTAATAATAATTATTAGTTTTAATTGATTATTACCAAGTGTATTAGTTATATATGATAGGATTTAAGAGAGATATTGTGTGGTGGGGTTGGGTAAAAGTAGGAGAGAGAAAATGTATAACCAAAAAGATGTGGTTAACTATTGGGATACATTGGTTATTAAATGCGTATAAGAGTGGTTATAGGTGAGGTGGAAGATGTAGAAATTAATAAAATAAGCAATAACCACAATGGTTGTGGGCAACCATTGTGCATGCTCTTAAGGCTAAAGGCAATTCAATACATATTTGTCACTTTATTTGTAATCTTGAAAGCCTTTGAGTATAAAAAATTATTTTAAGTGCTTTCTACAATCAGTTACAAATGATTTAAATTTTTAAACCAAAATAAAAGAGATGACTATACAAAATGAAAGTCACCAATTATGAATAGTGATATTTCTTTACTACGATGTATAATGATATTTTTCAGCCTTCTAAATTATGAAAATTGATTTATTGAATTTTGAGCAATTTTAATGATATGAAACAATTTTTTTTTTTAAACAGTGGTATGAAACAAATTATATTAACAATAAATATAAATTAACAAATTACGTGAACCTATACGCATATCAATACTATTATTTTAAAATAGGAACGTTTTTAAAAAAAATCAACAATGCCACGTCATCCTTTATATTTTTCAAAAAAAAAATTCCATTCCTAATATTTATCTTTCTGTTTGTTCAATTTATTCCCAAACGACACTTTAATTCCCCTTTACATTATTCAATTTATTCATACATCAATATCCTTTATTTTTTTATGGTTTTCCACAATCCCAACAATCTTTATTTTTAATTTTATTTTATCTGTCTTTCTCTCTTGCACAATTCAATTAAGCTATGTATGAATTCAATTGTTTTTCCTTCTTTTTTAATCTCTCTTCCTTTTTTATTACCCCAAATCAATTTTAGGTCTAAATTAATTTCTTTTGCCAAGTTTCTTCTTCAATTATGAGTTTTTGAAAAAATAATTCATTATTCTAATGTTTGGAGTTAAGAGTATAATTAGGTACTCAATTCTTCCTTTTTTCACCTTTTAGGTACTCAATTTTTTTTTGCTTTGCTTTTGGGTACTCAAAGTGCTTTTCAGGTGAACTAACTCACCACTAACTCATCACTAACCATACCTAATTAAAAAAATTAATATTTTAAAAAAAAATTCTTAACTTTGACTCATAAATTAGCCGTTAATTACTCTATTTAAAAAGGTATGAACTTGGTCAAAAAATGCCATGAAAACACCTGTAAAACACTTGCAGCACACCATGTTTTCTTAACAAAATTCATCCTAAACGATTTTCCCTGATTCAATTTTAATAAATAATTAAAAAAAAAAAACAAAAACAGCAACGCAGAAGCTGTAGCACTACACCAGCAACAAATATCATCAAAACAGGTTCATTCACCATGTCTATTTAGGCACAAATTCTTCAACAAGGTTTTCCCAGATTTTTTAGAAAAAAAAAAACAGAAACAGAAGCTGCTGCTAGGTTCTTCCCCTGCTGCTAGCTTAATCCAACAACAAACAACAACAAAGCAACAAATTTAACACAAAAAACACAAGAAATCGACATCATCAATTTGTTAAAAAAAAACCTCAAAAAATCGAAAACCCTAGTTCGCTAATAACATCAAGAAATGGGCAAAAAATTCAAAATTTATATCAAAATATCAACATAATCCATGAGTAATTGAGCGTAGCTCAAAAAAATGGCGGCTTTTGGTGTCGTTTTCCCTAGAATCGAGCCCAAGCTTGCTCGTGTTCTTCGACAATGACGCAGAGCAAAAAGGGGTAATAAAGAATAAGAAAGGGAAAAAAATTAAGGGTGACCCACAAATTTTTTTGATTGGGTGGGGCCCACTTTCTATTAACCAAGGTACTGAATTCTTTAACCAAAGGTACTGAATTCTTAGGTTGATTTATTTTTTTTGGCCGGAATTCTTAACTCAGTACCCAAAAGCAAAGTAAAAAAAAATTAAGTACCTAAACGGTGAAAAAAGGAAGAATTGAGTACCTGAATTTATGCTTAACTCTTATGTTTGTGTGTTTTATAATGTTATCAGTATATTTTTAAAAGATATTTTCTTTTGAAATGTTTAAAACAAGTTATTTATTGTTTAAAAAGACTAGTTTTTTTTATTTTTTTATTTTTTTATTTTCATGTTAATTTTACGTAAATTTCAATTTTTTTTAGAATTTTGAACTTTTTTTATTTTAAATTTGATGCTGCAATTTTCTTTAATATATTTGTTCTCAAAATTTCTTTTCGAATTTTTTAATGAATTTTGTTTTTTTTTTTTTTTTAATTTGAAACAAATTGTGCTTTAGAATTTCTATTAGCGTTTTTTCTAAAATTTGTACGATTTTTGAATTTTCCATTTTCACAAATTTTGTTGTTTTTTTATAAAGAATTTACTGTTTACAATTTCTTTTATAATATCAATTCATGTATTAGTTTATTTTTAAAATTGATTGTGTTTATTTAGTTTTATTTGGTTTAATATAATTTTTTAGTTTACGTTATAAAAACTTATTTTGTTTTGTTTATAGTTTTTTCAAATGTTATTTTGATTTTTTTAGCATTAGATCTAATCATAACTTTTGTTTATAAGTGGATTAATTTTGTATTTAAATTTATTTTAAATTTTAAGTGGTATTTTTTTGAGACAAGTTTTAGTTGGTATTTCAAATTTTTTTTTTATTTACAACCAGTATTTTTATTTACATATATTTTATTTAATTTAAATTAGTAAGAGCAATAATAATAAATAAAAAATCTCAAAGTTGTTTCTTTTTCTGACCTTTTTTTTTAAAAAAAAATTAAGCCCTATTAATCTTATTGAAGCATCCTTTTTTTTTTTTAAAAAAAAATATCAGAGTAAAGCGTTACAATTTTTTTTCCCTTTTAAATTCTGTTGTTTCTTTTCCTCTTATCATTGTTCAGTTTCTAAAATTTGTTGCTTTAATAGTTAGTTCCATATTCCCCTCTTCTATTTATGTCACAATACTCATGCAATTGATCTCTCTAACCAAATTTTGAGTTTTTGCTTAAAAGAAATTGGGTTTTCATGATCGATTTTGTCAAATATATTACAAGGTTTGTATTTTTACCAGTATAAATTGTTGAATTTATAGAAACTTATGAACATAGTTTTTATCAGATTAATAAATCACTATACGTTCAAATTCAAAAATAAATATTGTAATACATTAGACAGTCATGCATCACACAGGTTTAAGAATAGTTATATTTCACAAAGTTGACATGAATTGTTTATTGATAAATTACTTTACAAATATTTTTTAAAAAACAACTTTTTTAAACCACACACAAACTACGGAGTGTAATATATTTGTAAATACTTCTTTTTTTTTTATTTGTGTAGCAATATAAAAACCTACCCAAAAACTACTTTAATGTCGTAAAGTTTAAATAATTATAGCAAATTTCTAACTATTACCTTTTATCTTCTACGATCCCACTTCATTTTTTTGGTCTTTTGCCGTTTGAAATTTAGAGCTTTACTGTAGCTTAGCTTTTTCTCTTTTGATCAAACCCTAGGTTACTCAATTGATTGAGTCCTTTTTGTTTAAATTCTTTGTTTACTTTTAAGTTTTTATTTTTATTTTTTTTTATCTCTTAATATGGCGAAGTAAGATTGTGTTTGTTCCCTCTATTAAAGAAACTTCTAAACTTTTTCCACATTGATGCAGCTAGTAAAGTAATGCTTTTAATATCTTCGAATTTCAATTTCAAAATTTAGGGTATATCTTTAAAATTATTTGAGTCAACATCTTAGAATATTCAATTTTCTCTCTTAAAATCTTAATAGATTATCATATAAACCTTAATGTAATAGAGACTATTATACTAAAAAAAATTGTATGCAACTATTAAAAAACACGTAAGAAGTATACTATATTTTTTTTTTTCGGAAAATAAGAAGTATATTATAAATTAAAAACCACTTTATTGTTATTATAATTGAGGACTTAATCACACATGTATATATGATTATTATTTTTATCTGAAAAAATATTACTTTGTTTTTTAAAAATATATCCATTCTAACAATGAATATCTTTCTTTGACTCCTCTGTTTCTATCGCAACAATTATTTCATTATAAATTATAATAAAAATATACAAATGTATGGAAATATAATTTTCGCATTTATGATGCTAAATTAGTAACGATTTTTTTCATCAAATATGTAACACTTATTTTTGAACCAATATTTTATGTGCACCTATTAAACCTAATTTCTAATTTAAATCTCAATTTTTAAATTAAAATTTTAATTTAATTATTATATTGATTTTAGGGTTATTCCAAGCTTTTGAAACCCTACTATTTTGACGAAACGATTGAAAGTTTTTTTTTTTTTTTTTGGAAAAGGTTTTATGTTTGAGTTTTAATCATTTCAATTATTTTTGACATGTCTGAATTGATATTAGCCTTAAAGGGTGATTCCTTAAGTTTAAGTGTCAATTTAGTAAGTGTTACACTTATATTATATGTAATTTTGATATTATTTAATCTATTGAGATTGATACGGGTCATCATGAGTGATTGATTGAAGTACCAATTTAATAGGTGTAAAATGATTTTGGAGTTTTTAAAACATTTTACGGCAATCGTATCAATATCGATAAATAAAGTCGTATTGGGTGATTCCGTCAACTCATTTATCAAATTGGTATTATTTATAAAGTATTCTTTGACT